ACCATTTGAAATATTATATGGAAAAAATTGACAGATAATCGAAACAAAAACAAAGGTTGTTGTTGTGATACATCACCTTATTATTGCATCAGCATTGCACCATGGTAGCTGCTGTGAGTGTGTCAGAGTTGCCAGTTTTGGGGATTTATCACCAAGTTGAGGATTTTTGTTTGGAAATGGGATTCGATTTTTAGTTTGGGGATCTGGGGATTTTTAGGGGATATCATAAAGAAAAAATACAGTAAAAATTGTACATTCCTGCATGTTCTGGAACAGACATAATTATTAACAGATAATTGTTTTGTTCCCGTACCCAAACCTTTGAAATTTATTGGCCTGTACCCGTACTATACTACTTTTTAATACGATAACAAATCGCTCATTTCCTGAAAGACAGGCATAACTCAATAACGTGATTTTCGACTAAATGATGCACGATTCTTCGCAATAATAGACCTCATGTTGCGTAAAAAATTCATATGAATATCTCTTACACACTCTAATTGAGAACCTGCAGAAGTTCGTCTGTCCCATATAAAGTGTGAGTAAATTGAAAACTTAAAACGCATTTTCTGCAAATTCGTTTTTTTAGTTATGCCTGTCTTGCAGCAAATGAGCGAAATTATCTTTATGGCATCGAAGAAAAGTAGAATCTAGTAGTTTCTTACATTATCATATATAGGGGAACATATAGGAAAAATCAAAATAAATATAGATTAATTGAATTAAATGTATAAAGGATTTTATTGGGGATTATAAATTATTTCTGGGGATTTTTGATGATCGCATATCTTCATTTGGGGATTTGGTTTAAGAAAAAATGGCAACGCTGGTGTATGTGTTGTAAACAATACGGTTCTCATTTAGTCTCCATCCCACCTCATTCGTAATATTTCGGTCATACCACTTTGAGTTCATCTTTATCGGCCATTTTGTCTTCTCCTAACATTCGTTAGCAGATGGAACGTTTTTCATATTTTCATTAAAATCAAAACAATTACACTTTTTAACTTCTTTTTTCTCAATGACTATCTTTTAAACTATATATATATATCGTATATATCAAGGTGAAACTTACTGAAGTCCCTCCGAGAATAGCAGATGACGGTTTTCTGGAGCTTGCGTTAAAATATATCCCAAACAAAAAGGTAATTCAGTAGTATGCAAAATTCAATTCAGTAGTATGAAAACTATGAAGTAAGCAATGATAACCTTATTTTCAATTCAAGTGTATCATACAGGATGTGCAGGAACAGGAAATATATTTCTAAATGCGCGTCACAAATCGAGCGAGTTAATAATGTTCAACCACTTTATTCAATCATTGACTATTCTTTTGTACATACACATTTGCATTATATTAATCGAACAAATGTTACAGTCATCAGTAATTACAATTACAACAAGACTACTAGTCAGACTACCAGACATCACATCAGTTAAGGAACTATTGATTTTTATTATGAACTAACCATTATACATATACGAAGTTTCTCTACTACGTAGTAGTTTGACTACATTGCAGAAAACGCTTGAACCGCTAAGTGCACAGGATTAACAGCACTTTTTGAAAAATCTTACATTTAAGTGTAAGAGGCCATGGTATAGTCATAACTTTTATATTTTATTTATATCATTCTTGAATAATAAAAATTAGCGCCGTGACGGATTCTACATTATTACGTTGAATTCATCATTGCATTTCTCAACTTTTCGTTTTTGAGAGTTAATAGATGTGTGTACTGATTGATGCCTCCAGTAAACTTCGATCTCTTCCAGAATCAATAAAAGTTTGGAACTCTTGCTATTTTATAGTTCGAAAAATACACGAACTATAAAACTTTGAAAATCTCGTGAACATGAACAGAAAAGGCAGAAAACAGCTATCCGCATAAATAAATTGAACTTAGTACCATTACTCATTAATACAAAACATCAAAAATAGATAATTGTTGTTGTTATAGCAGCCCAATTGCTTTTACACAATGTGCTGAGGTGACAGACGTTGGCCGAGTAAGACTCGTATCGTAGATCTCCCTTAAATCGACGTATTTTTACTTATTGAACATGTCTATATTAAAAACTCAATTTCTTGAAAAACTGGACTTATTGCGTTTTCACGTTAAACCAGCGATATATTTTTTGAAATTTAAAAGCAATGCCAGGTATATCATTAAAATAATCAATTTTTGTTTTACAATTTCTTAATTCTTCAATTAAAATGAATGGTTTCGAAAAGTTTCAGTTTTCTTCTTACATCCAACTATTTACGGGAGGTAACGTTTGGTCCAATTGTTATGAAAATGATTTTTGTAATTTTTTGTAATGGCTACGCATATTCCTTTTCAGATTGTGTATATATCTCATTTCTACAGGGACATATTGTCTTAGGATCGCCAACACAATTAGCATATTTGGAAAAAAATCGTTACATTTTGCTGTAATTTTATTGATTAGGTTTTGGATCCTATAGGAGAGCTGCAAGTATTTTTCTTCTCGTGGAAGAGTTGTAGGTATTCGTCTTTCTATAGGAGAGCTGCAGGTATTCTTCTTTTTGTGGAAAAGCTGCAGGTATTCTTCCTATAGGAGAGCTACAAGTATTTTTCTTCCTGTGGAAGAGCTGCAGGTATTCTTATTCTTCCTGTGGAAAAGCTGGAGGTATACTTCTTCCTATAGGAAAGCTGTAAGTATTTTTCTTCTCGTGGAAGATCTGCAGGTATTCGTCTTTCTATAAGAGAGCTGTAAGTATTTTTCTTCCTGTGGGTGAAATTCAGTTAAAATAATACCTTTAATATTTTTTCCGAAAATTCTGATATTAGAAATAAAATATTATGCCATTATTTCTTCAAACATAAAAAGAGGGGAATAGGAGAAAGCGGAAAGGGATAGAAGATGTTTTAAAATAACGTAAATTTTTTGTTATTTTAGTCATGCCAGGCTTTTAGCAAAGCTAAAGATCTTTTTGGGATCTATTCCGGAGATGGAGGGTAGAGTATGAAATCACATTTTCCAAACCGTCGATGTCTTCTAATATATAACGATGGACATCTACAGATTATATGTTCAGTTATTTCCAGTTCCTCCTCATACTCTCATAAACGGCAATAATCCACTTCGTTAATGTCCCATTTGGATGTGAGCGATCTAATCTTGCATTGATCCGTTATGTTCCTCACAGTGATTTTTATCTCTCTCTTTCTATGAAACATCAACGAAGAAATTCTACAGAGTGAGGACTCTAGGCAGATAGCTTTCTTAGTGCGTTCCTCGACATTCCTTTTCCACGTTAGCCTCTGGTCAAGGACTGTACCTAAGTATTTTGCTTCTAAGGAAAGGGTTATGGTGACTCCACCCAAAGATGGCAAACGGAAGTTTGGCATCATGTATAGCTTCCAGTTTCAGATATTCGGAGTTGGAGTGCTTAGAAAAAATGGTTATTTTAGTCATGTCAAATTCTTGACAAAACCTAGGATCTGCTTGGGATCTATCTCATATTTACCAAATTGTCTATGTGTTCTGCCACTCTGCGATGGACACCTACAGAGGATATGCTCTTATTCGTCCTCACATATACGGCAGTAATCCTATCTGTTGATGTCCATTTTGAAGTGAGGGATGTAATCCTACATTGATCTGTTATGATCCCCACAATGATTTTAATCTCTCTCTCTCTCTCTCTTATTATGGGACAACAGCGAATAAGTTCTTCGGCGAGAGAATTCTGGCAAGATAGCTTTCGAGATTCTGCAACCAGGTTCGCTTGACGATTTGTGGCCGACTATCGGCGGTTGCACAGATCTATCAATCGGAAGGTTGGACGACTGTGAACCCCCTTGAGTAAGCTCGTCGGCAATCTCATTCCCTTATATGTTACTATGTCCTGGAACCCAACATAAATTAACTATCCATCGTATATCATGTAAAGCAGCCTTGCAATCATGAACCGCTTTTGAGGTAATAGTGCACGACTTTAAAGCTTTGAGGGCCGCCTGACTATCGACATATATAGTCACCGGTCCTATTCTATCGGATGTATTTTTTTTTTTTTTTTGACTATATAACCGATTCCGTGGTTGCAACGATTTCTGCTTGAAAAAAGCTGCAAAGATCGTTAAGTTTATATGATTTATTAATTTCTAGTTTCCAGCAGTAAACGCCTGCACCAGTGCCTTCCTCAATCTTTGACCCGTCTGTGAAATCTGCACCACCTCCTGCTGCTGGTTTTTGCCTGTTTTAGCGGGTAGGGGAATTGAAATGTCCGCATCCCCTAAAACAATTTACCTTTTATTCCCTTTTAGGTATTGTTAACAGCAGAGTCGGTGGCGAACTTAGCGATAATACCGCCGTTCTTTTCAAATGAGGTGAGGATCCTCCATTTCCTCATCTGAAGACCGTCATTCTGCTTTTCGACCAACCTGAGTGTCCGTATGTCTTTCCAGGCTTGCATTGACGTTATCGAGAGTAATGAGGCTTGATGAGGCAAAAGAATGGTCCGGTATGGTAGCATTGATCGTCGTCATTTGTAGGGGTTAATTGGGTTCTGACCTTGTAGAGTTCGAGACTGAGGGTGCCGAAGCAGGCCGCAAACATCTGTCGAAAAATCGCATACTGTTACAGAAGAGGGGAGATATAAGTCGGCTCCAAATGAAGTTTGTTGAGTGAGGACTTGAGGTCGAGCATGGCATAGCCTCTAGCCTCTGTTAAGGACTCGGCACTTATGCATATATATATATATATATATATATATATATACTGGGTTAACAGTAATATTAAAAGGCCCATCCTCGGTATTTTTTTTTATTTAATTCAAACTCATTAACGTAGCCTTTAATTTCAAGTACAAATTTTAATAAGAAGCCTATTTATGGTACTAATGCGAACTACGCGACATACGTTTTTATTTTTCAATCAATTTAATTTTATTTGAAATTTTTCATTCAATTCCTTCCTTCTAATACGTTCACATTTACTAATTACGGAAATTTGAGAAAATTAAAGGATTTGTTATCGATATGGCTGCGGAAGGAATAAGCCAATATTTATTACTTTGGAGCGTGGACTATTGGAACTTAGAAGGTAAAATATTAAAATATCATTGCCAATTTAATTTTGTATGATTTTTTAATAACCCTTTTTAATTTATATTTAGTTGTTGACTGTTAATATGCACTTATTTTTAAATGTCGATATTTTTGTATTTTTTATTTCCAGTTTATGCAATTTTTGAATAATACACCTTTGCTTAATGGAAGCTTTTAATTTGGGTTAATTGACTATTTTTAATGTTGAAGAGTTTATATAAAATTCCGTTTCCGACCTACGTCATATGGTGTAGAGACGGCCGAATAATTGAACTGAATACAAATTCAAATAGTATATGGGCACTTCCGCGATCAATTACACGACTGTCGGAGGCAAAATAAATCTTTAAATGTTAAACACAACTATTTTTTTTTTTTTTTGAATTCACCCTTAATATTTTTTGTAGAACTTTAATAATGCTATCAGTGGTAAAAAACGACTCTGGTTTTTATTTGAGATAAAAGCCACAGAAGAGCAGTCACTTACGCGACATCACTGTTAATAATGGGAAATTCTGCGAATTGTGTAAACATTTCGAACTTTAAATGATTTTTACAACATAAGTAAAAATATCATGCTTTATTATTGCACTTTAAAATTTGGGCCTGTTCTTTTTTGCGAAGGATTTTTTGGGTAATTTTTGATGTTGCAGTTTTTATTTCTGCATTGTTCGCATTTATAGTCATTAAATTAGTATTATGCTAGGAATAATAAGAAAAAAATACAAATGTGGTCTTTCTTTGTACTTTTTCCGTTAATTCACGTATTTAAGCACAAAAAACACAAACGCGAAAAAAGTTTGGTTCAAATCGGACATTCCAATCTCCTGATATTGGATTTGTAAATATTGAAAATGTTGACCATTTTTGGGGAGGTACCAGAAGAAGTGGACCGATGAGTCCCATCTTCAGTCTTGATCTAGGTTTGGTTGATAGAATAGGTTGCAAAATTGAGTTCAAATCGGACATTCCAATCCCCTGATATTGGATTTATAAATATTGAAAATGTTGACCATTTGTGGGCGAGGTACCAGAAGGAGCGGACCAATCCCATCTTCCTACTTGACCTAGGCTTGGTAAAGATAATACATTGTACAAAGTTTCGTTACATGTTATTATAAAATTAATTTTTAGCACAATTTTGACCATTTTGTGGGGGAGGTACCAGAAGGAGTGGACCGATATTCCCCATTAAGATGTTCAAAGATTGAATGAAATCGATTCTTCCTTTCGAGAGTTATCGTGCGCACCAGCTCCAGACATATGGACAACGGACGGACGGACATGTGTAAATCTACTCCAAATATAAACGAACAACTGCATAATTAAAATTGGAACGACCCATAACCTTGTTTGTTGTTAACAACAGTACATAATTTAAGATAGCGCTCCTGGAAGAGGATGTTGCTGGAAATTTTTTCACTTACGATACTCTTATTTTCCTTATGCGATACTTGGATTTTTGGCCACGGATACCACTTAGAAGGCTAATGTCGTGATGTCAGCTCGGAATGATCGAACATATCGAACGCCTTGGGCAGGTGATCGTCGCTGATTAAGGCTATTCGTCATCGTGAAAAAAACGTTGTGCTATATGTTTCCCTCAAACCATGTTGGTGTGAAGCTAGAAGGAAATGCTTTTTGAGGTGCGGAAGGGACTCTTAAACCTTGGCTACTGACTAAAGAAGAACAATCGTGATGTAGGAAGCGGATTTATCTGATTTTATAATTTGAATAATCCAATCCAATTGGGAAAGTGATAATTCGAAGATTTCGGTCAGATAACCAGCCCTATGGTCAAAATCGGTTTAGATCTATATATTTATAGATATGTTTCCAAATTTTTACAACTTACTAGAAAGCGTGTGAATTTTTTGTAGAAATCGGTTCAGATTTATATATAGCTCCGATATATTTTGCTCCACGTATCCTGTTCTTGGCCAGTAGTGCAATTCTGTAACTCTTTTCACTGTTACCGACAAATACCGGCAAAATTAAAACACATATTTTTCATATTAAAACTTAATTGCATAAATTTTTTGTTAGTCTGTTGTTAAACACATACGGAATAGCATCATAACCCTGTTTTTTTATTTCCTAAAAATTTAAAACTCAAAAATTTTCAAACACATCATCGACATCGTCAAACTTTGTTACGGGATACCAAAAATGTAGCAATAGTTATCGATAAATGTCGACAACGGGAATACCAATTTGAGACGACTCTAGACGTCGCTTTGTGTCGACGACGACATATGGAATGTAAATTTGATTTAGAAATTAAGAATAAATTTGATTTTGAAAATTAAATCTAATGAATATACTATGCTTTATATTTACAAAACGGGAAAAATTATGTAATTTGAATACTAATTGTAACACTTAATATTATTTTGTTATTTCTAATTAACATTAAATTGCAAAAGTTGATATTATTTAAATATATTTACATTATTCATTTATTTTTAAATTTAGAATTGTTTCAAAACCTATAGCATTACAACATATATTTTTAGTTACTGCATTACCAAAAATTCGACGACGTCACCTAACAATTATTGTTACTTTTATTATCGTCAAAATATGTTACTATTTTGACAAAGTGGATGTTTTTTTTTTTTTTTTTTTTTGGTACGTTACGTCGTATAAAAATAATGCTCTGCGTATATCTTACGTAAAAATAATTTTAAACTTTTGTGAATGATTTTTTTTTAACAAATCTTTTACCAGAATTTTGTATTGACAATTAATGCATATATTCCAAATTTTTAATTTTGTAGTCATGGCTGATGGAATTTTCAAGTCGAGAGATATAGGCCTGCGTGCTCAAAAGAAAATTCTTTCCCGCATGGCCACGAAGAATATAGCAAAAACCTTTATAGATGGCACCACAGCGTCCCTGTTGGATAACTTATATCGTCTTTGTAAATTACATGTAAGTATTTTGGTGGGTACTATAAGCCATTTACATTAAAATATGTATATACACATATTGCACAAATAGGTGGAAGCAATGGCGCAATAATAAAGGTAGAATTACTTGACGAAATTAAAATATACTGCAGTCTAGTTAAATGTCGTATGTATTTATTATAGGGGTAATACCGTAAAGCGTTGATCAGCCGCATATAAACAGATCCAACAGGTTGTTATTATACCATAGGTGCGTTTAAAAACATAAATTTTATTATTAAAAAATATTTAACCCATATTTATTTTTGCTAAAAATACTTTTTTAGGGTTATTAGGAGGAACTGGCAACAAATTGTAAACGTCGAAAACTCATATACATGTATAATATGTTATAAACGTCTTTTACTTCAATAATTTCACCTATACGGCTATTTCGAATATATAGGTTTTCATAAATTCTCGGTTTAAAATTTTTCCGACCCGCAACCAATTTTTTATATGGCAATCTTGTTCTCTAGCATGTTTTCTAAGTGCCATTGTAAAAGATTAATTGTTATTGTTGTAAGGGCGCAGGACGAATTCAGTGATTGTTTTCTTTCGTTGAACATTTTTTGCATTCCAACAACCCTTCCAAACATAAAAAAATGTATTTTTGTTGTGTTGAGTTTTCATTTGGGGAGACACATCTTCCTATCAAAAATTATCAACATTCGTCAACTTCTTACGATATATAATATTCGGACTGGTTGAACTTAACAACCTTTTAATTCAGCTATAGTTGTGTCGAGTAAGTGTTCTAGAACAATGTCTGCTATGTTTGTTGTAGCGGGCCTATTGTTTTTACACAATAAGTTGTGGTAACAGACATTGGCCGAGAAAGACTCGGATCGTAGACTCCTCTGTCGTGGAAGAGTGGGTCTCTATTGGCATTTCAAAGATTTATTGTATACCTAGTCATTATATGAGAAAAAATTGTTGTCTTTATGACGGAATTGTAAAATTTTTTAAAATGTATTCTTTGGAATTTCTGTATTATTCCTTATTTTGTCCCATTTTTACATTATGGTTTTAATGGCTAAGTATGGACTGAAATCGTAGTGAAAACGAACATTAAACCAAAAGCTACCACAATTTCTGAGTCATGGTCATGTTCTATTTCTATTTATTCTATTCTATTTGATATGATATTCTTCAATATTTTGCCCAAAAATTTAGATATTTGGTGGTAATATTGAAAGTTTATAGAAGAAACAAATGGACGCAAAGGTATATCAAGTTTTGTGTATTTTGAAAAGTGCATATATATATATTTGGTGCCTTACTATTCAAAGGGAAATTCAACGAATCCTCTTACACAGTACTTACTATTGACAATTACCGTATTGACATACATACATTTGGATGGGTATTAAATTGTAATGACCTGCGGACTTCTGGGTATTGAAAGCTTGTTATTTATATATTACTATTATTATTTATTTTCAAAGACTTGTTACCAGTCTATCTAGTTTAAGTCGATGTTTTATCTTAATTAAGTGAAAAATGATTTTAAGTATTATTGTAAGTTATAATAATGGTGTATTTAGTTGTAAAACTGTTGAGTGTCACAATAATTACATAGTAATAGTCCCAATTTATATTAGGCGAGTTTACTTGCGGCAAGTCTTTGACTGTAGGAGAGAGAGGGGCAAGGGGAATAGAAATGGAAAAAATTGCTCGTACCGACAATTTTCTGGCAATTCGTTTTGTGTATTTCGTATTTGTTGACATTTTATATTTATTTAAATGTGAAAAAACTATTGACATCAAATGAAAAAAGAAATATTTTCGAAACCGAATTGCCTTGTATAGACGCATGGAGAAAGTTCAAAAGGGAACGATACTAATTGCCGCAAGTAAACTCGCCTAATATAAATCAGGACTTACACAAAAACCAATTTGCTGAGAAAAATTCAAGGTTAACTTCATACAAAATTATTTGAAAATCAAGTAGTTCAGATATTCAACAAAAACAGATTTTAATAAATTGTAACAAATGGACTAATTCCCCTGAAGAAGTGGCCAAACAAGTGACCGAACGTCGGAGAAAATGTAATCACAAATTGATACGCTTTTTTTATCAAGATGTAAACAAGCTGAAAGCCATTAAACAATTTGTGAAGTCGTATAGAAAATGCTTTTTATGTTCAAAATCCTAGTGAACTCTAAAAATGCTTACTTATTTTTTATTGTCAACTTTATAACTATATGGTTGTTACATTGAAAACACTTATACTTGGCGTTTCGTATCAGAACCTCATTACTGGTCCCTAAGTAGTAAGAAAGTTCCTCTCAATACATTTCGGTATAGGTCAAGACATTGAATAATTATTTATTTATTATTATTTTGCATAATTTTTGCAAAATTTTAATAATTTGACAACCAATAAAAATCTACTTAATTTAATCTACTTCTAATCAGCTAATTTTAAATTATCCTAAATTTAAAATATCCTAGGTCTATTTATGAAGAAGTTTGATTATTATTTGAATAATAATTTGAATAACAACAAACGAAAACATTCCGTTAAAATAATATGCTTTTACTACTTACTATAATAACGTACATATTTTTTTGTAGACTAACAACAAAGCCAAAGCAGAGAAAATAATAAAAAACATAATAAAAATTGTTATTAAAATAGGAGTTTTACATCGAAACCACCAATTTAATGAAGAAGAGCAAAAACATGTAGAAACATTCAAAAAAAAATTCCAGGTACGTTAATGTACGAATATGTTAAAAAAATCAAATACATTAATTTTCTTTTCAGAATACTCAATTGTCCATAATATCTTTCTACGAGGTAGATTTTAGCTTTGACCTGCCATATTTGCAAAAGTCGATAACCGAATCACGCGAATCTTTAAAACTAATTGTAAACAGGCATTTGACAGAGAAGTCACTGACAAGGATCGACGAAGTTTTCGACTTTTTCACTGATGCAAATTTACTAGAGACTGCATTTAAACCAGACTCACCATATCGTGAAGTGATGGCCAACATCGTTGCTGATATTAATACTGCCATGGAAACAGGCGACATTTAATCATATATAACATTTATTTTACCAAAGAAACATCACAATATATATATATATAACGATACGGAACATATCCAATACTTCGGGACTAATTTTGTAATTCAAAGCTGTAACACCGAACACATATGTCACAATATTTGCATATGACTCTAGTGACATTTTATTAAGTAAATCATTCCGACGCAATGTTTAGACGCTTTAACACTTAATTTAGCACCAAAAATTTAACCAACTAATGTTATTTTCGATATAGACATATTATCCCTTCATAGGCTTTTTACGTTAAATTTTATCAAACTTGAAGAACGCAATAGCCTTTCCACGTGTAATTTTTGAGTAGAATGTGTATTATATATATGCTACATTTAAATGATTTGTAGTCAAATTTATAAATTTGACATCGGGCACATAAATGTACTTAAAACCAATATAGAGAATAATCAATGGTGATACTTGAAAATTAAATGATCAGGTTATATATACCTATGTACATATATATGTATATATACATATTTCGATATGAAAAATCTTTCACGATTTATTTGTACTTGAAATAAACGTGCTTAATGAAGAATATGATCTATATTAGAAAAAGACATACACATGATATTTAGTTCACTGAAATACATAAAACAAATGTCCATTATATAAAATTAATATGGGAAATATTTTATTGTACATCATACAATGTAATATTAAAACTAAATGGATTTATTGTCGTAATAAATAGTTACGTTATTGGAAATTTGGTGGCTCTGTTGCAAAATGTATTTGATAAATATCATTGGAGAATCAGTTAATATATGAAAATACGGATATATTAACTAGATAGGCCAGCAGATCCTCCTTTAAAGTATTGATATTAAAACATCTAGTTTAACTCTAAGATAGTTATATATTATACGTATTAATGTAAGCAAACAATTTATACGTTTTGTACTTTTTCACTTGATTGAAAACAAGATTAATATAAAAATCTTCAATTTGTAAGCAATCAAAAACTGTACTGTCCTTGTCTACACCATTATAAGAAATATTGTTCAAATTAAATGTTTTTTATTTAGAAATAAAATCAAAACCTTACTACAGTTAATTTCAAAAAATTGTTTTGTATTGTTAAGGTTTTGAACATAATTGGTTTGGTGTATACATATACCAAATATTAGTGGAGTCCAGTATCATCCTATTCCGCGGTTACATATCTGATATTGCAGGGTTATATGATATGTACGTGAGACATAGTTTGGCATTACGCAACGAATTACGCATGGTGGTAAAGAAATCGTTTTTATCTATATGTGATTCAATAGGAAACTTATTGAGAATAGGGGGGAAATAAAGTAATAAATTATAAGCTGTTTATTAGAAACAATAACACGTAATCTGTAAAAACAATAATTTATCATCTGACCATCTCCCAATTAAAGTAGAGATTACAGTCGATTTAAATCGTACAATAGCAGGGAACTAAAATTAAACAATTTGGATGACACAACTGAATTAAATGTCATTTATTAGTTTCATCATTTATTAAAAAATTTCACCAACATTATCGACGAGGCTATTGATGTTAGCGTTCTGAAGTGTAAATATAAGAATAAGTCTATTCAATTACCTCAAAACATCAAGGAAATGATACAGTTCCGAAACATCTACAAACGAAATTTGAAACGTTATAGAGACACTGAAGATAGACACCAAATGAATGTACTCAATAAAAAGATAAATATGGAATTATCCGAATTTCGAAACAAAAATTGGAATAAAACACTAACAGGGTTGGAAAAGCGTCATCCCCATTCTGGAAAATATTAAAAGTGTCTAAGAAAAGGAAAAATATTATACCACCTCTAAAATCCAACAATAATATGTTTTTCACAGAGGAGGAAAAATGTGAGGTTCTAGCAGAGACGTTTCTTGAAAACCAATCTATTTCTCAATCGGTCGGTGGTGTAAATGCAACGCTTGAAGTAAACCGTACTGTCGCCTACATAAATGCTGTACTGTTTACTATTGTGCACCATTATTTGCGGAGGCAGCAAATTGCCACATAAAGATACTATAGGTGGCTCAAAACAAGTTATTAAAAATGATTTTTGATTTGCCCTGGCACTATTCTACCCAAAGACTGCATACCTTTTCAGGGTTCCTACTAGTAAAAGACCAACTAGAAATAACTAGATCCAATTTTGTTACTCGATGTATATCTTCTTGCTACGCCCACATCAATGAAATAGTTTCATAAATGGGTTTCAAAGGTTTATTTTATCCCTTACAGCCCTACCTAAAATTCAACTAGCTCGTTCGTCGTTTTTCACCACAAAAGTAGAACACATGTATTTATATGAATGTTACCAAAATACGTCGACGTACGAATTTTCATTTCTTTTGTTGAAAAAAGAAACAAAACATAAAGAAATATAATTTTTTTCAATAAGAATATGAAATATTTGAACACATTTTATAATTTCTTAATTTTATTTCACGATTTTGTTTAGTTCGCTAAGAGAAATGGATTCGACGTATTTAGGTAATACATTTTGCCATAGTGGGGAAGTTGAATATTTTTTTACGCTTCGTTGAATTTTAGGTAACGTTGTTACACATTCAATATTAAAATGTAAAATCATAACTCCAAATGTTATAACTAAGTATAATAATTAAGTAGAAAAGGAAATGAATTCCTAAACTCTTTATATATTTGTATTTACCCCTGATGTAAGCTAAATAAAAGAAAAAATAACACGTAATGCATTCGTTATTTTGTTACAAGGGGCAACCAGTCATCAAAAGTAAGCATAACTTTTGCCCTAATGTATTCTATTTATAGCCTTCATCACACTGTGGTACAGGGTATTATGTCTATATATATATATATATTCTCCCGATTTAATGTAAATGGTGCCCCCCCATACCTTTATGGGGGCACCGAAGTGATGGAATGTGGACAAACTCTGGCAGTGAGACTCTTGATGTTCTATTGTCAACCCACATTCCTGGTTGTAAGGACTAGAAGGAGGGTGCGCAGTATGCACATCAGCCTATAGTTCGAACAAGGGAGGAGGAGATGTTGATAGAAAATACTATAAGCTACCCAAAACTGGTATGGGCGATAAATAGATAAAATAATTGCTAAGGAGCTAGAAAATTTTAAAACAGCACTGGAAATGAAAAGCATAGCGAGTGGTGCAGTGGATCCTCCTGTATTGTAGGTACAGTATAAAACGACGAATACCAAGGACTCTTTGAAATGGAACACGTTGAAGACAAATAATGCAGTACGGGGCAAGTGTTGAGGGTGTGGTGGACAGTATTCCAGGGACAAGTGCAAATTTCGTAATGTCAAGTGCTACAGATGTGATAAAACCGCTCACATTGCTAAGGTATGCAAATCAAGGACCGCACAAATTGTGGAGAGGCCATGGTGGATGGACTATGAAGGAAAGCGAGACAAGTAATCAACGTCGAAATTAATGGTGGGAAGGTGAACATGGAATTGGACACTGGTGCCTCTTGCGGTATAATGAGTTTGACGAATCCGAGGTGCTGCACTAAAAACTTTAAAATGCTACCAACGGGCAGAAAGTTTACGAGCTACACAGGTCATAGAATCAATTGCATAGGTCGAGTGGTATTGTATGTTAAAGTAAGCACCACTACACGCAAACAAAATGTATACATAGTGGAAGGCAATTTCGACTCATTATTTGGCAGAGAATGGATTGAACAATTCGTTAGAGAAATTTATTTTGTAAAAATATTTTCGACATCAGAGACGGTTGATGTAATCAAGATGGATTTTCCACGGTTAATGCCTAGTGAAGCGGAGCAACTACAAAAACTACTAGAAGAATTTGAAAGCATTTTTATTTAGTGATACAGCTGGTATGTTGGATTTTCCAACAATAAATCTACAATTAAAGAATGATGCTAATCCGGTGTTTGCCAATGCTATTTCTCTCGCTTAGCATCATTCTTTATTTTTAGTTTTATTTCTCTAAGAGAGATACGTCCCACACGTGTAGTTTACGCGCCGCAAACATTCCGGCTATATGGCAGCGGACTATGGTTTCTGTTTTGCAAGACATTCCCAACGTTTGAAATTTTGTTGATGATATTTTAATTTTCGCGGAGAGTTTCGAAAAATTACTTATTGTATTGAAGTCGACATTGGTACGGTTAAAGGAAAAAGGATTGATGTTAAAACGATCGAAATGTGTATTTGGTGCAAGAACAATTGAATTTGATGGTCACAAGATTGATGGTAATGGATTACATAAATCCCATAAACATGTGGAAGCAATAAGAGATACACCAGATACTTCGAGTCAAGAGGAATTACAATTTTTTCTCGGGAAACCACGTATTATGGCTCTTTTATACCAGACCTTTCTACACGTAGCAGACCACTTCAGAACATGCTGAAGGAAACCCCATTTCAGTGGATAAAAGAGGGCGACGTAGCGTATAATGGTATTAAAAATGGACTGACTTCACAAAAAGTGTCAATTCCTTACAATCCGGCATTACCACTATTACTGGCCACAGATGCCAGCAGTACAATATTGGGGGCAGTGTTGCCGCATCGTATGCCAGATGGTCGGGAAAGACCCATAGCTTATGCTAGTCGCACTTTAACGGGAACTGAACGCAAATACCCACCCGAAAATACTTTATCCAAATAAGTCCATACCCGTTTTATGTATCAGCCGTATGGCTAACTATGCGTATTTCCTGGGAAATTTTAATTTCAGTGTAATGTTGAAGACAACAAAAGCCAATGCTATCGCGGATTATTGCTCGAGAGCTATTAAAGATAGTGCAGTGAACAGGGCAAGAGAGGTGTACGATGATTTTGACTCATTTTTAATTCACCAGATTGATGTACTTCCAACGAATGCAGACAAAATTGCTTCGGAAACACGGAAAGATGAGATGTTGGGAAAAATCATAAGATAATTCGTTTATTGGTCAGGAATTGATAAGGAATTGATAAGAAAAGTTGTCCTGACTGCGCTATGCAAACGAACTACCAAAATTCA